ATGCAAATACCTTGATTGATTGGTTCATCTATATTCCAGCCCTCTCCTAGGGTCACAAGTGTGGATCATGACCAGAAGAATGAGACTCCAGGTACAAGCGACTGAAGTGAGCTTCCTCCATGGGGTTTCAGGGCTTATCCTTAGAGATAAGCTGAAAAGCGCCATCATCCAGGGAGCTCAGCGTAGAGTTGTTGCTCCGCTACATGTGGTTTGGCCATCTGATTAAGTTGCCTCCTGGAAGGCACGTTCCACTGGGAAGAGACCCCGGGGCACACCCAAAACTCACTGGAAGGATTTACTGGTAATATCCTCTCTGGCCTGATAACTTCTTAGAACCCCCTGGAACAGCTGGAGTGTGTCACAGTGGGGAAGGATGTTTGGGTTTCCCTCGAGGACCTGTTGTCTTTGCAAATGGCGATAAATATAATCTGGTGTGTCTTCAATTGAGCCGTAATCTTCAGTGTTTTATGATATTTTGTCACAATGGTTTCCTGTGAATGCAGCATCATTGATGTGACGAGGTGCGTAATACAAACAAAATGTGTATAACTTCTAATAATAAAGAAGGTGTTTCTATTCAAATGTTTATAAAATAAAAAATAAAAAAACTGAACCAGGATGGAGCTAAACTGCCGTTTAGATTTCCTGGTCCTTTAAAATCATGGTTCATAAATATTAATGCAGAGGAATGTGACCATTTCATAAGAATTCTGTTTTTCTTTCTCTGATCAAACGCTGTGTTTTCCTTCAAATGTAAGAAAGTGCATCTTTGATTCGTGCCCGGTGTGTGGGAGGAAGGTTAGATAAACAGACTCACACAGCGGGGGGAGGAACAGAAGCAAAACAATGAGCACAAGCTAAAAGAGCTCCCTGCCACCATTTGTGTTTTTCAGGTAAATGAGACTGAAGTGATGTTCTCGCTGACACAATTAACTCGTTGCTTTGATTAACCAGCTAAGACGACGAGCACTGTTGTGTTTTTGTATCGACTGAACTGTTTCTAGAAGTGATTAAAACGGGAACAGCCTCATGTTCCTGCATTACGGCTGATAAAACAAACTTCACACCCAACATTTTATCTCATCATGTTTGGCCTACTGGAAGTTTTGGTAAAGTTTAGGAATATTAAATGTTTAGAAAAAAAAAGTCATTTCTGTAAACCCAGTCAACCGCTATGTCTTTAGCTGCTTAACCCCGAGAGGTCATACTGCAATAAAGTTGCAGAAGTGTGGATAATCGAACAATGCAGATATGTTCAGTGTGAACTTTGCTTCTACAGATTACTTGTTTGTGAACTATAAAATATGCTGGAAGCAAAATAAACAATGCACAAGCATCATATGTTTATTTTTCCTATTTCAGGCACAAAACATAATGTTAGTGATTCATATTGCCCGAGGTATAAGGAGGTAAACATTGAGCATGGAGAGGGAGACTTGGAAAACAATTTAAAAAGCCTGAATCTGAACAAAGAGCAACATGTTCTGCTAAACCTGGCTAATTAGAGCTGTGACACAATAATTGAGCAGGACAAGAATAAACACACAGCAGGTCATTAAATGTTTAGGGATATGAGCTGCTCTTATTAAAGCAGACTTGGTGAGAACTACATATGCATTTGCAGATTGTCAGCCTCGCTCTGTTAATTTGGCTGCAAACCTGTGGGCTCACATTAAAACAGTTTCCTAAACATGCAAATAAATTGCAGGACATTAATGAATAACTTTAAAATGGTAACATTTACTTTGACTTCATGATGCATTTAGCTGTATTTGCAGACATTAACCAGTTTTAAAATGACCTGATCGTTCATTCTCTCTTTCCACAAATGTATACACAATTTATCCCAATACTTTTTTAGCTTAACTTGCTGACTGACAAAGTCCTACATATTTTGTCTCAACAGAGAGGCTACACCAATATCTAATGTTATTACTGAATGCAAAATGGACCAATAACTTGAAGGCCTAGCTCTCCAGGAGGAATACATATCTCCAGGCGTCTTTTATACCAGTTTTAAGCTAAGGTCGTCTTACGTTAAGAAACGAAGTTACGGCCCTTTTGAGCAAATGTTGACAGAACTTTCAATAAAAAGAAACTGTCCAGAGGACCTGACTTCACTTTGTTGGGTTGACAGTACTGTATTGCACAACTTCAACCAATTGTGTCAGATCTTGGACAATCCAGATGCAGGAAGAGGGTCACCTGCATCACGAAGGACCCCACACACCCAGCACACACACGTTTTGCTCCGCTCCCCTCAGGCAGAAGGCTGAGGAGCATTAAGTGCAGAACCACCAGGCTGAGGAACAGCTTCTACCCTGAGGCCGTTAGACTCATGAATCTCTAACCAGGAAAAGTCACTGTAATGCCACTTGGTTGTTGGTATGTGCTGCTGACTATCCATGATGCTGATCTCATGCTGCTGATTATCCATGTCCATGCTGAATATCCAGACTCATGTTTGTGCTGCTGTTGTTTTGGCGTGTTGTTTTGGTACTATTAGTGCTTAGTGTATTCTTAGTCTTGTGCATTCTTAGTTTAGTGAATGTAGTATATTCTTATTTCATGACTCGGATCTTATTAATGCTTTTCTTTACAATTTGTATTTTTGTTGGATGTACTGGGACCCTGTGTAGATAGTTTCGTTCCACCTCATGTACCACATGTGATGTGAATGACAGTAAAAATCATTGAATCCTTGAATCACTTGAGTGCCCAGAGTACTTGTGAATGACACAACTGCTACCACATCAAACTTTAGCTCATTATCAGTAAAACTGACTGAGCTATAGCATGCTTGTGTTTGCTTAGGCCAATGAAATGTGGCAGCCAATTTGAATTGGGTTGACTCTAAAAAAAGTTAATTTGTTGTAGATGTATGTATAATGATTACTTTTAGTGGTGTCCCAATATCAATGCTCTTATGACTTAAGACTTTCTTTTTTGATAAATCCTATAGTAAGGTTTGGGTTGGGTTTCCTGAGCTATCCCTTAGTTATGCTGCTATAGGCTTAGACTGCTGGAGGATAAACTGACCACATTTCTTTATTATGCTACTGTCTTTACTTACTCTGCTCAATCTGTTTTGTATTTGTATTTTTTTCTATCCTTGACGTGTTTTTGTTTTTCAGGTACACCTGGACCTGTATGATTGTGCAGCTACCCATCCAGGCTGTCACATTGTAATGTTTGCAGATGATACAGCGGTGGTGAATAAAGAGTAAAGAGTAAAGAGAATAACCTTCACATCAATGTGAAGAAGACAAAGGAGATGATTGTGGACTTCAGAAGGAACAAAAACATCTACACCCCCCTGAACATAAGAGGATCTGCGGTGGAAGTGGTCTCCAGCTACAAGTACTTGGGTGTACACCTGAATGACAACCTCAGCTGGAGCAACAACACCACCAGCCTGATCAAGAAAGCTCATCAGAGACTCTACTTCCTCAGACGGCTGAGGCGAGCTGGTCTGGGAAGCTCAGTCCTCACCTCCTTCTACGGATGTGCAGTGGAGAGCATCCTGTGCTCGAGCATCACCATATGGCATGGAGGCTGCACAGCTGCAGAAAGAAAAGCTTTGCAGAGAGTGGTGAAGGCTGCACAGAAGTCTGTCAGAATCAGCCTCCCCACCATCACAGACATCTACACCTCCAGATGCAGGAAAAGGGCTACCTGCATCATGAAGGACCCCACTCACCCAGCACACACACTTTTTGCCCCACTCCCCTCAGGAAGGAGGTTGAGGAGCATTAAGTGTAGAACCACTAGACTGAGGAACAGCTTCTACCCTGAGGCTGTTAGACTCATGAATCTCGAACTAGAATAATCACTGTGAAAAACCATATCATGTTGCTGCTGATCTGTTTCATGTTGCTGCTGATCTGTTTCAATGTTGATGTGTTCATGCGTGCACATCTGCTCACAGACTCATGTTCATGTTTGTGCTGATGTTCAATGTTTTATGTTATGAGTGCTTAGTGTATATTTAGTTGATGTTTTTCTTAGTTCATATCTTAGATGTTATTACTGTTTTTCTTAGACATTTTATTGTTGGATGTAACTGGGACCTTGTGTACATAATTTCGCTCCACCACATGTACCACATGAGGTGCGAATGACAATAATGAAACTCTGACTCTGACTGACTCTGACCTACACCTGGACCTGCCATTCTGTGTTCCTTTGTTTCTTCTTCCTGTCCTCTCAAACCCAGCCGGTCAAAGCAGATGGCTGCTTGTTCTGAGCCCGGTTCTGCTGGAGGTTTCTTCCTGTTAAAAGGGGGTTTTTCCTTTCCACTGTTGCCACTGTGCTTGCTCAGGTGGGAGACTGCGATGAAGTGAAGATTCAACGAGTCTGCTGCTTCTTTAGATAAAGAACTTTACTAATTGGCTTTTCTATGTATGTGACTGTTCCTGTAAAGTGCCCTGAGACAACTTTGTTGTGAACTGGCGCTATATAAATAAAATGAATTGAATTATGAAGTACTCGACTCGTTTTCATAAAAGCACACGATACTACAAACCAATCCCAATTTTATGCTTGGTGACATCATTTCCTCTTCTAAAAACTAAAACACGTTCATAGTTTAGAAGCATTTTAAGATAAAAAACAGGTTAAGACAACAGACTGTATGTGTTCCTAATAAAATTAATGTGTTTCTAAAGCCACTGTGTAATGTTTAAGTACTAACTTTATAACTGCTCAGTAATGGTACTCATGTTGGCAAGTACTCCAACTAAAGTAGATATATTTGTACTCATGTTGGCAAGTACTCCAACTAAAGTAGATATATTTGTACTTGTTCTTAAAAAAAATAGCACTGGGACACCCCTAATTACTCTGTGAACGTTTCATTAAAACCCAGCCAGTGGTTCATTAAATGTTCTGCAAACAGACAAAGGAACACATGCACAGACACAGGCAAAAAAACATTATCGCCCATCTATCTCCTTTTCACAGTGGGTGATGATAAAGGCATTACAATTCATAACACTCACGTCTCATGTCTCTGAAGTAAATGGTTTGTCTGTTGGGGTTGAGCAGTTGGATAACAGAGTCGTCATTGTTCTTCACCCGACAGCTGATGATCGCCGTCTCTCCCTCCACCACAGCCACGTTGTCTGTCACCAAGTTTTGACTCACCACTGGACGACAGAAAAGACAAGGGTGCTTACATTAACGATGGCATTATAAAAATGCAGCAACATGGCCGTTTAGGTTCAATTAAAAGCTTCTTCTCAACACAGTTAACCAAAGATAGCAGCATGGTGAAAATAAAATCATGGATCAAGCACACTAGAAGAAAAAAATCTGAATTTGTAGGTGAGGTTTTATAGAACAATTCAACAG